TGTTAGTCTTTAAGATGCCACTATGATTTTGTCTTTTGCTTTTTTTGTTTTGGTCTCATATTATTTACACAGACTATCTTCACATTTTGTTGCCACTGAATTTTGGCAACACCAGCAGTGGGAACCTGTGTAGCTATCCCCAAATATTAGTGATGACAGAAGTGGTGAAACCTCTGGCATCTTGGGGGTCCCCTGACACAGTCCCTGCACAGCAGAAGTTGCCACCACCTCCTCCTAAAGCTAAAAGGCCAAGCAGCTGGAGAGAGAGAGAGGCTGTGAGAATCCTTTCCGCTATTCACAGAGTAATACGATCATTATTCTGTGCCTTGGCCCTGCAGCATAGATCTCTGATAGTTATTTCCACTTAACAGGCAGGAGCCCAAGAGATCATGTCAAGAAAAAAGTGACTGCAATAATGTTTATTCGGCCTTTATTAGACTCCCCAGTATCAGGTTGTCTGGGATTGTTGACAACCCAGACAACAATTGAAATATCTTTGGAAGAATAGGAACTGGCTTCGCAGTCCATGCCACATAGAGCTGTGCTCATGTTTGAGCCGAAACCGTTTAGCAGAAGCCCTCAAGTATGCTGAGGCAGCTGCAGCTGCAGGCAGGCAGGCAGACACCATTTCTAGCTGCTGCCAGTTTCAGCCGGTTTTTCCATGCCACCATGGCCTGCATGCTAGCCGAGGACAGGTGATACCTGGGGATCCAGGCCCGTCCTCTGCGTACTGGGGCAGTGGTCTCCAGCAAAATGGAAGGCCTCAGTACCCCTCCCTTTGCACAATTTCATGCAAAAGGGACACTTTGATGCTTGAGGAGAATTTATTTTGGTTGTGAGCCGCCTAGAGTGGTCCTGAGTTGGCTAGATAGGCAGGATATAAATTAAATAAAATAAATAAATATATTGACACAGAACTCATTGAAAGCAAAGAGAAAATCAAAACCTCATCCATGCCCACAATTAGCAACCTGAACATGAGGGACCAGGGCTGGGGAAGTGAGATAGCCAGTTCAGTTTGGTTCTCCTGCCTTTGCCAAGTAACCATGTAATGATAGGTAAATTGCTTTACTCTCTCTGTCTTCTTGACAGCCAGTTAATTATTGTTCCCCATTGCAGCCCCATGTGGCTACAATGGGAACCACCACGTCCTCATGCATGGAAACTAGCTAACTAGCTGTGGGGATTTTTGTAACCAGGTTTAGGAGGTCCTGTGCTAGCTCTGAATGAACTCCTTGAAACTATCCATTTCAGGTTTTCTGTTTTCACCCAAATAGAAGTGTGACACATAACAGTAGTATCCTGCTTCTCAGCCTTCAGAATGATGGGATGGTTGGACAAAGGCGGAGAGGCAGTTCCGAGTCAGAGCGATTGGAAGCGTGTGCCCTGTGACTTTACCCTGAAGTGAACAACGACGACAACAAATGATCTCTCTGCCAGTTTATTCCGGCAGCGGGAACAGGTCCTCAGAAAACCTGGTGGTACGGCCTGCTTCCTTTCTCCCACTTTTGTAGCTGGAAGGAATCGTTGCTGCCTGGGGTCTCTTGACCGAGGAATCCAGTAAAGCTGGTTCTTCAGCATGATTGATAGGATGGCCCAGAGTCTATGATGGACATCTAGCTATTTTAAGGAATGAAGAAAGAGGGAGGGAGAAAAAGGAACATGTAGAGCAGCAAAAAGTAAAAGCAAGGCCTCTATTGCAGAATTGAGACTAAGGTTCTTAAGAACAGGAAAAGACAGCTGGAACGAATCCCTCTACCATCTCAAAAAAGGGCCATGGTGCAGAGAAAATTAGAGCTATGTATAGTAAGAGAATTGTAACTTTACTGGTTTTTTGACCCAGTCCAGCTCTGGGGGAAAGGATAACCTTTCAACTTGAAACAAGCATATTTCATTAGTCCCAACAGGGGGCAGCAGAGATATCTTTTCCATTGTTTTCATAAGGAATGGTAAGATTTGGGAGCAAATTTTGACTCAAATTGCTTCTAAATTAGTTGACAGCCTCTGCTTGATCTCATTGGTACACAGGCACTTGCTGTACCATTCCTTAGTCAGTTACATCCAGAGACACTCGTATTAAGGCCAGCAAACAGAGCATAGAAAGTCTGCCTGCCGTAGCAATGCTGACCAAAATGGCTTCCCTATGGTGAATCACAGAACCATAAAATTGTAGAGCCGGGATATAATCTTAAAAGATGATTGAGTCATACTGTATCTCCTGAAGGACGAAATCATTTCTGCTGCAGCCAAAACAAAACATCCAACTACAGGACTGACTTGAGTCAAAGGGCAAAAACTCACACTGCCTATGAAAGCTGACAGGACCCACAATTGAATCATGTTGTGACGCTAGTGGCAATTCAACAGCTTCCATTATGCCTGAGGACAGCGGGTAACTCTGTCAACAGAGAGGAATGGCCAGAATACTCTTCACACCACATAGCATCTGCCATCTGATGCAACCACCTCACTCTGCCTCATCATCATAGGCGTCCTTCAGTCTCGAGAGACTATGGTAACATGCTCTGTATCGAGAAGTGTCCTCTCCAGAGCATGAAGCCTGGGTAAAGGAATATGGAGGATAGGCTGTTACCCAAGCAGCAGATCCCCCCTCTCCACATTGCTGAAATGGTCCAATGGAAAGGCAAGAGCCAATACAACTGGTTCCAGCAATGTCGCAGGAGTTGGCAGAACGACACGAACTGCCTCCGGGACTCCGGCTCTGGATTTCGCCTGTAGGTCAACTCCTGAAGCCTTTTCCATGAGTGGATATAGCCACAAGGCAGTGAAGGTCTGAAATCGGAGTTTTCCTTCTCCTACATGGGCTGCCTTCCATGGCTGACAAGCCCCATTCTACCTAATGGTAGAAGAATCCTCCACCAAGCACTCAGTGGATAGATTGGTGACACTGAAGTGTGAACCTTTCCATTCCATATTTTTGGCAGCTGCTGGAGAAAGAGTACAGAGATCTACCATGTTGGCCTCAATCTGTGCTAAGAGTATGGCAGGATTTGTGATGAGTTGTTAACATCTTAAATGACTTCTCATTGTTTAGTGGCTCACTGGTGCATTTTGGCTCCCAGATTGTTGCCAAATCCACAGAAAGACCAGATATGCAGTTCTGTAACGTCTACGAGGGACTAGAGTAAGTTCCTACAGTGTCACCATGACTAACTGCTCTTCCACTACAGGAACATGCAATTTACTGGGATTGTGTCCAAACAAATCCACTTCTGTGTATTCACGAAGGGCTTTCACAGCCAGGATCTAATGGTTCTTGTGGGTTTTTCAGGCTCTTTGGCCGTGTTCTGAAGGTTGTTCTTCCTAACGTTTTGCCAGTCTCTGTGGCCAGCATCTTCAGACGACATCGCTCTGTGCTCTGGTGCAGTTTGCTTGGGAGCGGTCTCTCACTGACCACAAGGCACTCAACTCCCAAGCAAACTACACGAGAGCACAGAGTGCTGTCCTCTCAAGATGCCGGCCACAGAGACTGGCGAAACGTCAGGAAGAACAACCTTCAGAACACGGCCAAAGAGCCTGAAAAACCCACAAGAACCATTAGATCCTGGCTGTGAAAGCCTTCGTGAATACACAGAAGTGGATTTGTTTGGACACAATCCCAGTAAATTGCATGTTCCTGTAGTGGAAGAGCAGTTAGTCATGGTGACACTGTAGGAACTTACTCTAGTCCCTCGTAGACATTACAGAACTGCATATCTGATCTTTCTGTGGATTTGGCAACAATCTGGGAGCCAAAATGCACCAGTGAGCCACTAAACAATGAGAAGTCATTTAAGATGTTAACAACTCATCACAAATCCTGCCATACTCTTAGCACAGATTGCCAGATGGTTAAGGCAATTCAGGTTCTAAGAATTCATCTGCTTGAGCTAGAAAAAGTCAATGAGCTCTGTAAGGATTTCTGTAGTCGCTATATTGCATGTCTGAAAACAAAAATGAACAGTGAAACTCTGCTAAGCGGAGAATCTGGAAGCCCTTATTCACCTATACAACCCCAGGTATTTTTCACTTTAATTGAAATATAGTTTCATTATTTGTTTCATAACCTATCCTGTCACAAAGGTTTAGGATAGATAAGGACAAGAATAAATGAAAATATATGTGTAACTGTATATGCCACTATGCTAATAATTTGGTTAAATTTATAAACCATGCAGTTTACAAATAGATAATCTGTAATAGGCAAACTAGCAGATTTTAAAGCTTTGTGATATAATTAAAGGTCTCCCTTGGATAGTTTCTTACTAGTCAGGCACATGGAAATGTAATTCTTGAAGAATGACCGTAATTTGTCAACTCTTTGTCTGCAGTCCAGCAACTTTAAACATGATAAAGATAGCTTGGATTTGCTGGAGCAGCTGTCTTCATGGAAAGAGTCACCTGAAAATGTGAGCAGTAGACCAAATTTGACACAATTATCATTGCACTTTGACACAATTTCCTTAGCCTAATTTGGGGGTGTCCTTGTTCATCTCATTGTAGATAATGGCCCCATCCATTGTAGATACTGACCCCTGTATGTGGAAATAGATTCTGCAAATGATGTGTAACACATCCTCAAGGCATGGGGTGCTTAGCATCCAGTAGCTTGGATATAAGGACCCAGTTGAGAGATCCACATGGTGAGCAGTGAGCTATGCATTGATTGCTCCTTCGTGGAATGCCAGTTTATTAAGAAGAGGGATTAAGAACTGGGTCTAATTCTGTTTTTCTACTCTGCTAGGCAGTGACTGTTGACAGTCCCAGGCATTGCTACTTCAGATGCTTTAATGAGAGATGCTGCTAATAAAAGTTTGATCTGTATGAAGAATATGTGCTCTTTCAATAAGCTGTTGGCCCTTCTCTCATTTTGTCTGTAGTACTTGGAAAATGTGTCCTGCTTGGCTGTTGCATTAATAGTATTAAACTAGAGAATCAGGCGTTGGTTGATTTTTTTCCAGTTCTTTTCATTGTATTCTCCTTGAACAAAGCTAATAATGGTATCAATATGGCTGTAGTTTCAGAGCACATTCTTTCAGAACTTCAGATTATGGTTACATACACCACTTTGACTCCTGTGGGAGCTCTCATAAAAGTCAATTAGACAGCATGTGCCCACCAGTTCCATACCATAAATTAATTTAATCATGAATAGTATGAAGATACAAGCATATGTTTTCAGAAATCTCAGAAAATTTGTTCACTGTATTTTGTTGCACTCTTCATGCAAGCTCTGCATCAGTGAACTAACTGTAAACCAATGTTTGATTATCTTAAGTGTTCAGATAAAGCTTCAATAATTCAAATAAACATCTTAAATTGAACGTTTGTTAGAGGCATAAAATCATCTTTAAACTTTAAATTAGGAATACTTTTGAAATCTAGACTGTGCTTAATCATGAATATTCATTATATTAACTTCATAATAGCTAATATTTCACCTGTACATCGTTACTGTATGTGCCTTATGAAAATATTAGTGGTTTCCTTATGATTTCCCTATACATGTCTACTCTCAAGTAGGTTTTATGGGACTAACTCCCAGGTATGTACTATGTATAGTTGTTCAACCTTAAACGTATCCCATTTTTCAAAATAAAAACATAAAGAGGTCTAAAAAAGTATCCTAGGTTAACCTTTCCTAAACAACTAATCCGTCCATACGGATTACTAATGTTAAGTCCTTTGATTCTAAGAAAATGGGGCTAGTCCAACATTAAGTAGCATAGACACTGTTGTTTGGGTTCATTATGATCCTTTCACAAATCTGTTATGTGCTCTGTTGAAGTAGCATGAGGAAGAAAGTCAGCATTTGGGACACGACAAATAAATACAATGTATTATGCAACTAAAATGTATTAAGTTATTTACTCCTTTTCATTGAGTTTCCTTCAGATAAGAGAGTCATTACTAGTTTTTTTTTAAATCAAAGTGGTTAGTATTGATGACCTCCATGCCACCTCCATCTTCATTATCATCATTGCTGTGGGATTTACTTTTCAAAACCTCTCTGTTCTCTTATTAAAAGTATTACAACTAAAATGACAGGATTATCTTGCGTTATGCAGCTGTAATTCTTTTTGTTGTTACTGTTTTTAGCCAATTCAAAGTGCCATCACAGGTACATTAAGTCCCCAGGGCATTGTGGTACCTGCATCAGCATTGCAGCAGGGAAATGTAACTATGGCAACTGTTGCAGGTAAGATGCACTGTATAAAATCACAGACATTGCATTTCATCATAGTTATGTTTTGTGGCTGATAAGTGCCTAAGAATAGGAATTCTAGAGATTAATTTATTTGATTGCTTTACTACATTTATGTATTGTCCTTCTGCCAAGACAGCTAAGGTGGTTTACAATTTTTAAAAAAGTAGCATACAAGCAAATATACAAGATGAAAAGTGGTAAAGGTGGATAGAAACATGAGTGAACACAGATGCAGATTGTTACATATTATTGCAGAGTTGATATAATGATAATGTCCAATGGTCATTTGGACAGACGTTTCAAGGAGGAAATAGATACTCAATGGCAGTTTGTCCCAGCCAGAATACTGGGGCAGGCCTTGATTTCTTGCCTCTTCTTCAGATATGGAGAGATGGCAACTTTTGATGGACATTATTATTTTAGATTATTTTTTATGAAGACATTATTTTAGATTTTTTTTTGACAGAGACATTATTCTTTCAGATTGTTTTTAAAATAAATTATATTTTAGCTAGTTCTGCATGTTGTGTAACCAGGTGTGTAACTTATCTATGTGATTCTAGTTAGATGATGTCTATAGTCTAATTCTAGAAAAAATAAAATATGCCATCTACTACTGAAATTTTCAATGTCTTGACCATAATCCAGAGAATTGAAATATAGGCAGATGCTCTTATGAAAACATGTTTTGCCTTAAGGCAAAAGTATTCATTTTAAGAAAGAATGTTGTTCCTTACAGTCTTCATATGTTATGTAGAATTATGTGAGCTAGTGAAAATAAGGCAAATCAAATACAGTTGTGCAAACTTTCTTTAAAAAAAATAATAAAGCAAATTATATAATCTTTGTGATGCTACATTGAATACGTAAATAAATACCGTAAAATATTCCGAGTTTCATTTTTATTTCTCAGAAACAGTGATGACATAATGTTGAACTTTTTATTTTTATGCCTTTTAATTTTTGAGATAGAAGTTCTAACTGTTCAATAAAAATAATGTAAAACATTTTGTTTACGTAGTAGTTACATAAAAATGGATGTTGCCACACTGCCTTTGACCTTTTTTTGTTACTGTTCTATGGTAAAATAGTTATGTTCTTTTAAGGTGGGGCGGTATATCAGCCAGTGACGGTGGTCACACCTCAAGGTCAAGTAGTGACACAGGCATTGTCCCCTGGAACCATCAGGATCCAGAATTCACAGGTTTGTTCTGTGCTCCATATAGTAATCTGTGAATGTAAAGAAGTATGGAATGGGGCTTCCCCACCAACTTTTTCCCAGGATAGTTCCCTGCTCCAGTGTTACTCCTTGAAGACACTCCAAAAATGATGATGTGTATGTGAGAAGCTGCTGGGGAAGGGAGAAGGAAGCACACAGAAAAATCGTACAAGATGTCACCATCCAGTCTTGCCCAGTTTCTTTTCACCTGCCTTCATTCCAGACATTTGTCTAACCCTCAAGGGTAATTTCAAGCCAGCAGTGTGGAGAAGGTACTGGGAAATCAGGAAGAAAACCAGTAAGAAAGCCGTGTCCTCAATCTATTTATTAATTTGTGATATTTTCATCACACAGTGACCAAGATACAGAACCTTTAATCTGCAGTAGGCTATAGTCAGGGATACAGATGAGATAGGCAAAATTAAAACTGTTGGCCCAGATATAAAGATCACTAGGGATTCACTTGGAAAAGTAAATAATGACACTTCACTTCTACCCACAATCTCTCTCTCTCTCTCTCTCTCTCTCTCTGTCTATCATCTATCTATCTATCTATCTATCTATCTATCTATCTATCTATCTATCTATCTATCTATCTATCTATCTATCTATCTATCTATCTATCTATCTATCTATCTATCTATCTATCTATCTA